CAATCCTTGAAGTAGGGCACCAATGTTCCAAGCTTGTACTGTTCGTTGTCGATACCTGCTTCTTCTGACGCTACTCCTTGCACTAATTGATGTCGATCGCGAGTTTAAATGCGCTGTATGTCGATTTCGTCGTCTGTTGGACGCCTGGTCAGCCCATGTGTAATATCCACCTCCTCAAGTGTAAGTTTATGCCACCCTGTGGGCGCTCTTGCCGCATTTCATGATGGCGTTTCAGGAAGGGAAGAAGGTAAACAAGGCTACTTGAGAAAATTGTTGTCGTACTTCTTAGCAAATTGAGTTCGTGAAAAAGGAATAGGTGTCATGCGACAATAATTAAATGAGACAAACTGACCCTTAATCTGCCACGAAACTCGGCTGACTAATGTTTATTCTTGCTGGCAATCCGTACGAGAATAATGTAAAGCGCTTTTGTGCTATTTATGCGTTCACGAAGGCAAGGTATGCCAAACTAGGATACAGACGACACGACTCCGATGATGTTATATAGTACACACCAGTGGCTAGGCGCTTAGTCGCGATGTCGTGGTCAAATTTTACTGGAAAAAACACTGCATCTCACCATCACCGAAGAGCATAGCTCAGAATGTAAGATCAAATCATCGTTATTATTCTGTCATGCATTTATTCCCGTTTCTGGCCGACTTCGCGGTACTACATCGACAACGCTATTCATGGTGCAGATTTTCAGTGAAGATGCGGTACGCTCAAATCAGATCTAGAGCTGCTTTAACTAAAAAAAAAGTGTGATTCCCACGAACAAGGCGGAGTCATTTCGTCAAGTCGCCAAGGTACAGCGGTTAAGTTCATTTCTTTCTTGTGAAGAGCATTTTTGTAACGGAACACCCTTTATCTGGGTGCCGCGAAACTTCACGTACACTAGTACGTGCAGAGGAAGCTAGTCTACTTGAACGACTCGGTCAAGTAAAGGTAAAAAAAGAGAACTTTGATTAATATATTTAAGCTATCAATATAACTTTGATCTTTATCTAACTGTATAAAACTACGTCGTCGTATGACGACAACCTGCTCACCACTCATTGCGCGCGTCTAGCAGCGATTGGTGGTAATCTACGGTTGGTATGTCTTCTGTCAATTAATCTTGGAGCAGCGCATGAATATTATCCAAAAGGGGGTAATAGTCCTTCAATGTTATCCACCTGGGATAATATTGGTAGAATATTGTCATGCTAGACAATTTCTCTATTGACACCGTTTGGTGTAAAAAATAGTAACGGCCTACCCCGACGCCTCCCCTTTTAAACTATCAATCACCCGTTAATTGAATTAAAATTGGCTGGGACAGGATGACTACCGTTGGATCACTCTGGGAAAGGGAGCACTTGTTGGTCAAATGTCATTCATTTGCTAATTCGACGCACAATCTCGAAAACTATGCGAGTTGCTACTGCAGCAGCAGCAAGAAGGGCGGCTGCACGCATGCGTGCGGCCGCGGAAAGTGCCTCTCACACCTCGGCAGCAGGCGATACGTCGCCTGTTGTTGTGAATCGTCCACGTGGTGAGTCACCACGTGCGACCGGTCCTAGCGCTTAGTATATGTAATAAAACAGTAGGACTTTTTTATGAAAATGACATCTATTTGTGTACAATACACCAGGTTACTTGGTACCCACAACCGTTTGTGTAACCTAGTTACACGTCGTGCAAAACTAGGTCCTGGATTTTTCTGCGTCGTTTTCAAATGATCTTAAGTGGCGCAAGACTCTTGACGTGAACCGCCGACTTTTCACGTGAGAGGATTTAGAGAGCATTGACATGTAGCACCCATTTAGGTTTATACTGCGTTTTATATTGCATTGTTATCCGGCAATAACTTGGGTAATGCTATATATTTGTAGTTTTTTTGTGATATTTGTGTTAGCGCACTTCCGTATATACTCGCGCGCTTAGCTTCATGCATACTAAAAGTAAATGACCGTTTTTTTTATTTCTTGTTTCCGGTCGAGAATTGACAACTTTTGCTCTAAAGTAAAGACGATTTTTAAATTAATCGTTTGGGTCTCGATTTCCGGCATTGATCTATTCCATTACGCTATATCCAGTGCTGATGTATACATGTGATAACTCAACGCTTTCTTACTGAAAGAGACGACACTAGTGATGCATTTATCATTTTTCTGTCTCTCCACCTCTTATTGCAGTGTACTTATATGTCCGTTGGCAATTATACGAATGACTCCCTGTCAAGTAATAAGTTTGTGTCAAATGCTGAAGTATCACTAGGAATCGCTTAGTTAAGCCTGTTTGACCAATGCGAGTGCATCATAGGCATTGGGTCCGGCCCTGATCACAGCACTTTTATTTTGGGCCTCGTGCGTTCTTTGTTATTTGTGTGAGCTTAATTCGAACCACCACATACGTCTTGACACTGTTCGTTACAATGTCTTGTAAGCTCTGCAATACTTGCTGTAAACCTAATTCCACAAGCTCCTTTCGTTACCTCGCAATTATTTTCGATAGTATAGCTATTCAGCAGAGCTGGAAGTCTTCTTCTGGCGCCATTTCACGTCCTCATCCATTGTCGAGCATATCAACCATCGCTTATGCCGGCGCAACCTCTTTGCTGCGCGAGGAGCTCGGTTCATTGTGCGGCGCTCTTGCACGTAATTTATGGCTTAAGAATCCAGCGTTAATTCACCTGGATGTTGTCGTGCTGTGAAATGGTGCTATATTCATATTCGAATCCCACGACCCAGGGAAACCGCTTAGCAAGACGAAATACGCACATGCGAGAGGTCACCCTCACTGCCCATGCCAAGTCTATCCGTGCTAAAAAACCAATGAGTCGGGGCAATTATAAGGCACGAACTACATGATGTTCTCAAGATTGCATGACACATTTTTTGGATGTGGAAGTAAATGTCGCCTGTCATACCGTCAGTGAATGATAGTGCACGTCCGAAACTGGCACACAAGATAAATGTAAAATTACGCTTGAACCATTGCGGTGAAATATGGGACGCGTTAAACGTCTTCAACTGAGTGACTACCTGCGTCCAACTCTATCTCCAAGCACACAGAACATTTCATCAATTATCTTAGAGTCGTGGTTGTTTGCATTTGCCCTGACCGATGGCAAAAATCGACAGCGGTGCATCGCATCGTAAATGCTAGCGATGCAGATAGACCGCATGCTCTAAGTGATAGCTTCCAGTCCTCTTCACCATCCAGCACTGTTGCCATTACTCCTAATCGTCTGCAATCAGAAATTCATGTCGGTGCGTATTTCAATGGATACAGATACAAGCTGATATAATTGTCGGGACTAGCCGGTTCCCCGCTGCGTCCGGGATTTCTACTATACGCCTCCGCCACGGTGCCAATAGCATCCATTGGCTTATTAGACCTGAGTTATGGAGCTCGCCTGGGCAGGGTCTCAAAACTGGGAGCGCTTGCATCATCGCACTCAAGTGTTATCGCCCATCCGATGCTCCAAGGGTTTACATATAGTGTCCCGGAGAGGGCGACACAAAACGATGTTTGGAGGACGCTCATGTAGCGAACATTCCAGGCTCATAAAAGCCTCTTGCGCGCATGCCTCTAGGTCTTGCTGCGTGGCTTTAACACGCAGTTGATTGCGAATAGTTGACACTTTGCTAGATCAAATTAAAGACCTTCCCATGTTTAGTAAGACGCCAGTGGGCTTAACGATACTTGAAAGCAAGAAACAGTAGAACAGAGGGCGGAGACTTGGGAGTTACCACCGACAGTTGTGGATGTAGATCCCAAAACGTTTGAATTTGTGGACGACACGGCTATCATTGTCGTGTACGATTTTGCCACGCAACAGCGAGGAAGCAGCTGAGCCAACGACTGAGTGGACCCAATGTTGTCGTAGTGCCTAGTGAAGTGGCACCGTACTTTTCGGGCAACTTTACGACTGATAGTCGATCGCGGTTGTGGCTGTCCCACTACGCGATCAAGATGGCGAGGCATAATTTGCGTCCACAAGTGAACTTTGTGGCAAAAGTTTCGCGCTGTAATCCGAAGACTTTCGAGCAGAGTACAGAGACAGCACGCTCATGAGCATCAGGCACTTCTGCAACCATTCTAACAGCAGCGACCGCATTACTGCCGTCTCGTGACGACGACGAGCTGTCGTACTTGATTTCAATGGCGCGATTGTTTGCTATCCGCTATCACTCGAGTATCGTCATGATCCCTGGCCTTTATGTCGTCGTCGTTCCTTGTAGGGGTAGTCCCATTTGATGACTCTGCGTGCAGACTTGTGCCATTCATCTCTTCATCGGGAACTGCACCACTCTGCGTCCACTCATAGGAATGCGGTACTGGCGGCAGATGATACGTCAAATGCTAGCTCATTTACTTCTTTTCTAACAGAAAGTGGTCGGGATGCGAGCAGATCGTGGTCGCCGTCGATTAATTGCATACCTATGCTTCCGTTGGCGCAATTTACAATGTGATGCATTGCAGTCGATCTGCCATCTGTCAAGTCGAGCGGAAATCAGGACTCAAAAATGACTGACTATGTACATTTGTGCACTTGGAGTTACAGTTGGACATAGGTAGTCTTTCAGTTGGAGGAATGTAACGCGTCCCGTGGAATGGACCTCGTGTGATTTGAGACTAACACGAAGAGGTACGTGCCATCATCATGCGTGTACCCCGGACAATCCTGATCCATAACCTGTAATTTCGTACATGATTGCACTCACAATTAAGATCAAAATCTGCGTGACTACCCCGACGGCCGCTTTTATAAGCGTCCGTTTTACGAGCGACTATTCACATTGATAAATCAGATGCGAATTGAGAGTGGGAACATTGCCTAGCCACAAAGCGAAACAGACCAAGTTACATAGCATCCACTTATCTCTTAAGACACTCTGGTGTTGCTAATCACATTTGTATCTTAGCTACACCCCTGAAAGTAGTCAGCCACCTCGCCGTCAGTGTCACTTTGGTTTTGGTTTGTCGGTTGACTCCACGAAGCGGCCTCGTTACTTACTCTTCGCGAGGTATGCTGCGATCTTCGGGTCCGATGCGACATTCTTGATGAGAGCCTCCAGCTTCGGGAATGCAGTCACTTCAAAAGACGGGAAAATCGATTTGATGCCGTTTTCGACATAGTCAAAGGTCTGCACGTCAGCAAAAGAGATGGAGTCACCAAGAAGGAACTTTCCCTCCACGAGCTTTTCCAGCACAGCAAGCATCTTGGGAACGCTTTTCTCGATGTAGGCGTTCATTTTCTTGGTCTTTTCGCTCTCATCCGGGGTGAAGAACAGAAAGTCGGTGCACTCGGTGTTCAGCTCAGCAATCGTGTACGACAGCATATCAGACTTGAGGGCCTTCACGGGATCACTGGGGTACAGTCCAGCCATCTTGGCCGCGTACCGAGCAATAGCCATACTCTGAGCGTAGACAACGCCATCTACTTCAAGGACAGGCAGCTGGCCATTTGGGAGTGATGGCTTCATTGCCCCGAATTCAGCGGGCGAAGGGCGCTCGTCCACAAAGGCGACGTCGCCATAGTGGAACAACATGCGGCTCAACTCGGCGCGGCCTTTGATGTCAAAGTAGGTGAGCTTGAGATGTTGGACCATGGTGATGTTGTTGATGGATGTGACCAAAGCTCGGGAAGTTTGCGAATGAGCCAAAATCGAGGACGATCAGGAGTGAGATGATACGTCATCTATCACGTTTCTAGCAGTGCAGAGGAGCACACGAAACCACTTTCTCGCACAATCATCGGATTCCTGATACGAAGATGCACACATTTTGCACCACTTCGCCAAAAAAATCAGATCACCTTGTATTATTATTTTTAAATCCTGAACGTCGATCAAGCGCTTATGCCCTAGACGATATCGGTGTGCTGCTGCCTAAACTACATCATCTTCTCCTCGCTGGCTTAGTCTGCTTGGCTCGGCCCTTTGGTCATCACGGGGGACACTACGCAGAGGGCATGTGGAATCGGATATCCAGTCCGGGGTGTAGACAGGGCGTTGAAGTCGCAGGAAACGCCAAGGATCAGACTGATCACCCCTGATGGGCCGCTGACGCACCTGGACTAGGCCGACCTTGATCACGTTCTAGGCAAGTTTACTTCATAGGGGTCAGAAGTCAAACCCGAAGACCGGGCCGACAACTCGAAGGCTGAAGTAGAATAGTAGGTACTAGGTGGGGGGGGTGACAACCACTATTAAGAAGGCCCCCCCTTCTTAATCTGGGCCCCACGATAGGTGACATCCATTCAGGGTAAGGGGGCCGGTAGCCCGGCTCTCTGGAGGTCTTCATCCGTTGGCTGTGGTTGCCTGAAGGCGCAAATTAGGCAGCAGATCACCTTGTTGATGCGCAAGCATTCGTCGAATCCTGCGTTCGAGTCAGGCCAGATGTGGTTGTCCCAGATGGCAGGCTGTGCATCCTATCGATTACGCCACAACTTACATGGACATCAACAATTGTTGAGGGCGGTACTACCTAGCTAATGGCTGGTGGTCTTCATGACGTAGTGCTTGCTATGTTGTTTGCTGCTGACAGTTCGCATGCTTCAATGTAACAACAAAAGGCTTTCTACCAACTAATGCAGCAAGCTACGCCGTCCATCCTCTTTGTGGATGCAGGTTCTGGACTCGCTTTCATACAGGCCTGATCTCAAAGTTATCGCGTTGCTGTGCAGCGCTGTCCACCAACGCCGCTGTCCACCAACGCTTCGGAATGTGACCAGTATGCATCAGTGCTGTATAAAGCTTGTTTGTGCATACCGTTGGCGAGGTTGCTGGAGCTAAATCCATGGCAAACGAATCACGAAGGCTACCTGGCGCCGTGTACTCGTTTTATTGCATGAATAAAATGACACAACTGTAGACGAGTTTCTTCACCGTTCTTCTTCGTGCATGCGTATTGCACGCCATCAATTGTAATATGGGACTATGTGCGGCGACAGAGCAGTATGCACTCATTAGTGGTTCATACTAGCGTAAAATTGGCGCGATAAAAATTGTGACTAAAACCTACAGAAGACTGCGTCTTTCCCACCTGCTTTGTAGATCTTACTAGACAACACTCCACGAGGCTTATACCTCCTCTTCGTTCTCGATCCAGCTGCGCGCAATCCGATGAAGTGAGTTACTATCTTGCGTTGCCATCTGCACAATCTAACAAGAAAGTTCGCTCGAATCCTAACCTATCAGAGCGGGACATCACGCGTCGACGGTAGTGTCCAGTCAATTTTGCGCTGTATGACAATTTTTTGTATTCAATCCGAAGTGCTGATTTGTTGCCAGGTGGTAGCGGAGCGTCGCGTAAACACAGCGCCTGGAAGTTCCTATGGCATCACTGCAACGTTTTGAGCCGAAGGTTCGACATCCACGCGAAAGGAATGCACATGCGTAGTTTTGTATAGCGTTACGCATTGACTAGTCGTCGTGTCGTACGCTGGTGTGTAATGGTACTCAGCAACGGGGGTATCGGCATCGCCTTAACAGCACTCGTGACTTTGCATACACACCAGCTAAGTTGGAGTAGAAGTCTGAAACAAATGCAGGCACATTCGTATCAACAATAGCTGCTTCGTCATGCTCGAAGGAAAAGGCAGGAATTATACACCAAGATAGGTGACACAGATGTTGTCTGGACTCTGAGGGGCTCATGTGGCGCCCGCATGTACAAAAAGTTATCACCCACGCGGCCACCAATTCTCCATGCATTTTTAGAAAGCAGTCGTATTCCCATTTTTCGCATTGAAAATGCGACATTAAGTGCAATTTGAACTGGAATACAATTTTGATGATTACGACCGAGGTGTCCAATACGTCAAGTATTACTGCTATGCGCTGGTTGATAGCTGCCTCTGTATCCGGTAGTACATTTGGGTAGGGTAGACCTAGTAATGTATTTTGAGTAACGGGTATGTCAATATCTCTGTATTAAGAACACGCTTTCGATTCTGACCTTGCGGTCTCAAGCTTGGCGACTCCACTCTAATCATAACGAGACGATCCTCCACTTGCTCATTCAAAATCATAAAACCAGTACGAGTTTGGCGACGCTGTTAGGAATAAAATAGATGTGACCGTGGCTTTGTAATTGGAGTGTAGGCTAGGACGTCTGTACAATTTCCCTAGTGTCAGACGTGTAAATACTCAGTGGAACAGTATGATACCGCTCCTAGATATACCGTTTTCTTGTTATTTTAGAGGAACTACTTGCACAGAAAGGTGCCATTTTCTATCCTGTTCCGCAAGTTTGCAACAACAACATGTGAAACCGCAATAGCATGGCTCCTCTACGGATAACATGTTGACACGAAACGTACGAGACTTTTCTGTACACTTATGTATTCAAAAACGGGATTCATCAGTATTGTACCCCGAAAAATCAGTCGTGCGTACGTCTTCTTGATCAGGCTCGTGTCATCTCATTCCTTCTACAATTTAACAAAATAAAGCGTTTCATAGTATTTCACATTTATCGGTGCTATTTGTGCAAGATGGCTGGCTACTTGCCGTTTTCCAGAAAATTTTCAGTAAATGTTGTAGTACTGTACGCATCATCGTCGACATCTGGCCGTTCGTTACGACTATTGGTATCCATATGCAGCAGTGCACTTGAGCGTATTTTTTTTGTCTCACATGCACGAAAAAGGATCCAGATGACACGTTAAGTTGTGTGCAAAGCTGACGCGGACACGATACTATAAGGTAGTGCATATCGATTAGTTATAACAGCAGTATGGTCGCTATCGATCAAAACCTACGTGGAGGCAATCCCCTATTTCGTATTATGGGTGCATAGATTGCCTTTTGAGGGGCTAAACTACTGTTCACAAACCGTTGTGAGCTCTTGTCTTTGTACCAGCACAAGTGGCGATTCATATACGCTACAGCTGGGACTACTAAAGAACAAAGCGAAGCAGACAAGGGTGACTGCGACGCATTCTCGGATAACGGCGATACGTATACGTCAAAAGGTTTCAAACTCAGCACGGACGAATACGATGTTGTAGAAAAGGAGTGGCATAAAAATACTCGATATTTAATTCGGTAAGTACGAGCTTTCCAAGAAAACTCACACATAAGCGTCCTCGACGGGACTCGAAACCCCAATTTCCGCCTTCGGAGGGCGATGCTTTGTCCATCAGACCACGCGGACGATAAGGGACATTTGCATCACATGTACATATTGAAATATTTAATTTATAGGTTATAAAATATTATACACTGGAGTGGAGAATTCGTACATGCTGCAGTACCTTTTTATTCTGAATGCCTTGCTATCCAAGTGTCACATCTGAACTATGTGTATACAGACAGTAAGACCACCATAAACAATTTCGAATTCGAGCGCACGTGCGCACAGCTAGACATAAACTCTATCACTGTATGCGCGCACGCGTGCGACAAATCAAAAGTTTTGTTGATGACTTCAAAACGAAGGTCACCACGAAGTCAAGACTGTGTCGCTGTCACAGTCGGCAACCGCAAATTGTCGCATAGATATATTCATACACGTGTTCTTCCAGTATAGCGTCTCCAAGCAATCAGCTCACAGCGATAGAACAATTTCAGTTCATTGCCTGTTCAGCAGTCCACGGTGCGACGACATGCAGCATGTGCAATCGATATGCAAGTCCTACTAGAACAGGACCAGGATCTCGGCGAACAGTTGAATGTGATAAAGATAATACGACGTCAGATTGGGGAAACTTTCTTGCAAAATGATGTACGGATATTCTTGCACTTCTTGAAGATTTAAGCGCTATCACATATTCACAAGCGTAAGGTGATCGTGCAGTTCCTGCAGCAGCAGAGTAGACCATAATCGGGACCAAGCTTTTATATTTCTATAACAGTTTCACCCCTTGAATCAACACATAACTACGTTCATCCGTCAAGTCTAGGAGAGATACTGCATACCACAGAACCATGTCTTACTGAGGTATTTACCTCTTCTAATGAGCATTCATAAAGTACACCTCGACGAGCAATTGACATGTGATCTGGATAGACTGATTACCTACGAAAAATTTAATCGAATTGCAAATTGATTCAAGCTATCCTTGCCAAATGTGACACAGCACTTTTGCTTTACTATCCTGTCTGTGAATACACGTAAATCATTTTTCTCAAGGGATGGAAGTGGAGTCGTACACTTGACCGGATTGTCCTCGTCAGATTGTGCACGTATTTTACTCTTTGAAATTTGGAGCAAAGCCCAGCGCTTAGAAAGCTCTGCACAAATACTACAAACCTTAACACAGTACTAAACTCGTAAAGCTTTGATAGCAAGTCGAATTCTTTTTATTCTCAACAATGTTAGTGAAGACGCGTCCAGTACTCGAGACAGTGATGAAAAAAGGGATCAAACATGGGGTAAAGATGGTTTGTCCAAGAGGACTAACAAAGTTGACTTTACAATACATCACCGGTCATTAGCATTACACAGAAAGATATGACTGAATACTTCGACATACGGCAGAATGACCACGTGCAGCACATCTTGATCACAATCATACCACCCGGTAAATTCGTGTGCAACCCAGAGGAAAAGCCATCCACACTTACGATGTGATTGGACGCCCGCTCGCCATCGTCTCGGTCACGTCGTTCGCGCTTACGACAGCTACAAATTTATCTCAGCATCGAGAGATTTAAAATAAGAAGATGCATGCAGGATGTGGCAAAGGGGTTTCCAACGCACATACTAAACGTGACATATGGCCAAAAGGGCCTAAAGCGAGCGATTATCGTGACAGCAGCAAGTCTGTAAAAACATACATACTGTCGCAGCACAGAGAGGTTCGTATATCACGTGCTGTAATGCTTCCTGATGTTTTATATGCGAGTTCAGTACTTCTTACCATGTGTAGTCGAAGCTACCACTGATCTGCCCGACTTATTGATGCGTTTACTTTCATATTGACGTAACCGACAGTTTCGTCCGTTTTAAGTTATATTTTTACGGGTGGTGAAGTTACAGTGGGCCTCGATTCTAGAAGATTAACGAGTCATCGCAAGTTTGATCATAAGCCATTATCATCGTGCCTGTATAATCTCTGCGTTGGCGTCTGAGATCTTTTCTTGCTCTTCAGCTAAGTGTTTGTTTCGCGATAGAACACACTCCACTCTTTCAGTCGGCTCAAAAATACGAGGCCACTTATTCGCAGTGATGTGATGACTTGACTACTGATCTTGAAGGCGGATCTCATGGATACATGTATAATATCTTTACGCGTTTGCTGTTCCGAATACGAACACATCACATCTTACTACTATTAGTACTTGAATTACATTGTGCGATGAGTCCTGGCAAAAATCGAGTCAGGTTTCACCGAATAGTGCTTGGGCTTTTGGTTCGAGAACCCCTCCATCAAACTTCAGAACGTGCGTAATACAACGAGCAGGGTCCCCAAATTTATATTGAATGAGTGATCACTATGTCTGTAGAGCGTTTAAAATTAGTAAATTTGCGATGCTGAATCTCACGTGCATGTCGAGGTGCTTACCTGAGATGCTTACCTCTCATCAATCCTTAAGGTCGAGCTCGACGTCTTATTTATAGGCGGATCTCTTACACATGAAACATAATCGTGTTTATCAAGAGTATTGGCAAGCTCGTCGATTCCATATTTATGTCTTGCATCTGATGCGAAGATGCTTACAGCTTTGGTGGAACAGAGCGCTGTAATAGTCACTCTGGCAAATGTGCGAATGGCTTAAGTGCTTTCAAAGCTCGCTACTGACTTAAATAAGTTGTTAGTGGCGCATACACTTTTCTAATCAATTCGCATCTTCAGTTACTGTAAAATTCTTCCTACTATCAATCCTAGCGCAACTGCATGATCAGTCAACGATACCAAATGTGAAAAGGCACATTGCGTGCCATCCCACTTTGTCGATTCTATATCAAATATAACGCACGCACATCAGTAGTCTCTACAATGCTTCCAACCTTAAGTTATGGGGCCAAATCAAATGTTGTCTGTAAAGCGGATCGTTAGCAGAACAAGTGTACAATCCATACCATTCGCGTCCAAGTGAATGCGATTACGACAAGCGTACGCATTTCAAAATTGTAATGTAAAAGAATCCCGTGCACTGAAATGACAAGGGTTGTACATTCCACAAATGCGCAACGATTGATGCACAATCGGGGTAATTGGAAAGAATTGCGTGGGCAAGAAGGTATTATCTGGCATCATAATATATCAACATGAAGAAAGTTGATTCCGATCTGAAGAAGTTGGATTCGAGTTCAAGCCTGTGTCTAGAACAATTGCAAAGTAAGACATTACCAAAGAGACGGAAAATACAAAAGTGATAAAGGTCGTAGACATGGACGAGGGCAGGTCGAATTGCCTGTGTCTGCAACGGACGTGTCTCGCCCGCAGTGGCAAAAGTACAAGCTTCGTCTATGTAAATAGGATGACTTGCGCAGCTGTTTCTACTATATGTTAGATATGAAGAGCGAAGTCGCGGCCCTTAATGCTTTCTTAAATAAATGACAGACAATCGACATAAGCTACTCTAAGCGCGACTACATTTTAGACTCCTCTACAATGTAGTCGCGCTTAAAGTAGCTTAGTCGCAAAATTATTAGCATAAACGTAGCTAAAGTATACGTTTTTTCCGCTAGGTCGGACAAAATGAACGATTAAAATGAGAATTTTATTGAAAACAGTCGCGGCTGACTGAGCGGCGATACAAGCGGATCATAATTATGGATTAGGATGGTTCTCTAATGAAGACGATGAAAAGAATCGTTTAGTATAACTCTTAGCGAGTGCTTTAGCTGTGGCGAAACGGGTCACTACAGAGAACAATGTTCAAAATGAATCGATGAACGAGATATGTAAGTTGTGAGGGAAAATGTTAGTGATTGATGCGTGTTTATATCAAGACACCACTGTAGTGGCAGTTATAATCAAGCCAAGTTCACTTGGTGCTATAGCGGAAGTGACGCCAATGTGTAGCCTCTCGAATCATTTGCTTAAATTGCACCGGCTGCAATTAGGTGCCTCTTGCCCACCCGTATCTGCTAGAACAGGATTGTACCGAGATGTCGCTACTGGTCTAGCAAAGGCATACCGAATTGATCTCGTTGATGAAAGAGCGGTCTTTTTGTGCTTATGATTGCAAGCCTAGCTGCATGTCGACTTATTGATAAAGAATCCCTCTGTCGACACAATTTGTCGTACACGTGATGATAATATGGACATGGCTGCTACATCAATCTGGTGCTGTATTAGGCTGACGAACGTACAGTTAGTAGCTTTGTTTACTGTAACGTTCTGCACTGATTTCTTGCGCAACCTCAAGAAGCCGTTTGACTTGACGTCGGCTACATACTGAAACATCGCCAGTACGATATAGATTTCTAAATATTAACCGATCGCGTATGTCCTCCGCTGCGTATGGCAACTAGCTATTGTCTGTCACTACGTACACTGTCTTCTGGCACCAACTTGCTTCTACTTGATGCAGTGCGTAGGGACCTCATGATCCCAGGCTGGAACTGCTCAGCTCCGCACCTCTGAATACCGATTCGGACTTCGGCCACGGACAAGGTATCCATTCACATGACGATGCTGTGTCAGCGGCTCAGATGCGTCACCGTCGCTGGAATCGGTGCTCCAAGCTCAGGTCATGCATGTCATTAACGTGCTTGTTCATGAGAGGGTTGAGTCGAAGCCAATCGAAAATTGCTCCAACGCTTTGCCCGTCATCACCCCTTATGAGAGCTTGAAAAACTAGAGTGTCGCTGAACTTGAGTGCACTCTTAGCGTTGAACATGTAGATGTACTTTTTCCAGCGGACGAGCACCTGATACAAGATGACCCGCCCCTCCTTCACTTCCACACGGCGCGTCTCGTGTACTGCACGGACGACTTCCATGGCAAAAACTGCTTTAGGATTCATGTTTGATTCTTGCTACACTTCCAACGACTGATTCTGCTTGTCCATGATTTTGAAAAGCTCAGCTGGAACCAGTGACGCTGTGTACTCCTTCACTACTGGAATGTGTCGGAGGGAACGACACAGCCCCGCCAGGTCTTCGTGTGGAATCACTTCTGCAAAATGTTTGATCATGGTGTCATCGCTACGGAGCTCGTCAGCATGAGTTAGCCGCGCGATGAACATCTTCGCGAGAGTGACAGACTCCACCCATCCTTCGCGAAAAGGTTCAACCTTTTCCGCCATTTTATCGACAGAAAGCTCGAGCTTGGTCACCAAAATCCAGCGGTAGAAGAATCAAGCGGCTCGTTTGGGTGTGTTCGTCCTGGAACCTGATTCCCTGTCCAAATCTATGCCTTGAACTGGATCGTCTTGGCAGCAAGACTTGCAAAAAGCGACTTAGAAATAGAAGCTCGGTCCTCGTGTTTCCGGCTTCCAACGTCGCTCTTGTCTGGAGCTAACTCGTATGGCTTCACAAATCCTGGCGCGGGATATACAGACGTGTTCTAGCCGGCAACGGCGGTCAAGTTGAGCACAGCCGTATTGGCTTGTTCACCACGAATGGTCGTCATCTCAGCCTTTGTCCACGAAAAGACGATCAAGACAAGAAGCGAATGGTACAGCAGCCTCATCGAGCTTTCTGATTCTTACCAGGCAGATGTGATAGGCATGAGTGACGGAAAATGCGACTGTGGTGGACCATCCACGATCAGCTCCTATCCTTGATGAATGACTGGGTACGATGGTATTTCAATACGTCGCTCTTGATAAATGATCGTATGCAGCGTGATGAACCCGACAATACATCTCATGTGCGAGTCGAGTGAGTCGACCGTGCAGCCTGCATAAGCCATAAAGTTGCAGAAATTCTTGTGGTAAGCTGGTCATATACTTAACGGCAAACTCGTGGGCCAACTAGTCGTTTCAACGCATGGGATGGACCCAATTAGGCAGGTTTGTCTTGTTGACATCGCGCGAACGGATGACAAATCTAATCACGTATTTACTACGTCCTCCCGGTCATCTACGATGGGTTTCTGCTTCTTAATGGAGCATCATGTCGTCGATGCAAAGTTAGTCGACACTTTTTTGACTTCTCACGTACACGACATGCCTGCAACGGGCATCACAGCTATATCCTGATTTCTGCTTACGACCCCGCCAAGGATCGCTGTATAACGACTTCAATTGAATTCCACAGCCTTCCATCAATCGCAGTTCGTGACAAGGACTCTGCTGACTCCGCATTTCGTGATTTCCAGCATTTTTATCTTCACTGCTTTCTCCATTCTTGACAAGTCTAGAGCCAAGAATATGAGCTGGATTCTCCGTGCACATTGGGTACATGCGGCTTTATTTAATACGCTTTCTCCACGCCTATTGCTGATCAGGGTCTATTTCCAGTGCGATAGTGTCGAGCGGAACCGCAAACAGCTCACAACAAGATTGGCCAGACTGCATGACCCAGCATGCTATGATGTACATCCATTACATTCTTTCACCCGGAATCGTCGTACGCGACATAAGCTACCACACGTGTGATGTCATGCTGCACGGGCGTAAATGCTGGCTGCTGCCGCATATTTATCGCGTATCGGAAGGCAGCGCATTTCACATGACTTAGACAGTCTTTACTTTGCATAAATAGTATTACACGCCCGCTGTTGTGTACACGCTCGACTCAAACCTTTGTGTAGACAGTCCCAACAAATATGGTGTCTCACACACTCCACACAGCGAGGGTGCGAGCACTGTTTGGTCACACAAGAGACGAGCAAACGTACGCCAAGCACTGAGGATGTCAAGCACTGAGACGCCAGACATGATGACGGTTCCCGTCAACGCTCTATGTTACACCTGCCCATCGACACAGCAGACGGGACAGCTCAGAGCAGCACCACAAGATACGGTCTCCGTTCGAAACATCGTTAGAAAGCGACTAGCGTAGCACGTCACTTTCATTGCATTCCACGTTTGGTTTCTCTTGCATTATCTGGTAAGGGGAATGGGAACAACGGATTACGTCAGCCAAGTCAACCACAACAAAAATGCAGCTTTCCCTACCTTGTTGACCTTCCCAAGATCGTTTGCAAACTTGCTGCTTTGCTTCTGTTGCTTCCGATGAGCTTTCTTCTTCATATCGGCTTCATCGGTACTGCCGGTAATCCCTGCTGCCTTACGACGTCTCGCAATCTCCTGATCGTCCTCTTCGTCGCTGTTTCCTAGCACACCAATATCCTGATACTCTGCGTAGTCGTCTGCACCGCCTGTCATCTTAGCCTCCTTCTCTTTTCGCACACGTTCTCGCTCTAACTTCTTTTGAGCCTCTGCCGCTTTCTTCACTGCATCCTTCCATGAACGCTCCGCGTCTTCCTCCTTCTTTCGAGCTACTCCCTCCTTTTCAGTGATGGAAGCACTGAGGTTCTCGAAGTAGTTTAGTTTCCCGTTCATCCCTTCACCGGATGGTGTAGCCAAGTGATCGTCGACCCGCTGATCAATCGGGACGTACTCGCCAACGCCAGGGAAGATATCGTCCTCATCGTCAATAATAGTAGCAGCTTCATCCCCGCCTTCAGCAGTCTTCTCTTCCACATCATTCTCTTCTTTAACACTAGTACTACCACTCACACCTTCATCCGGCAAGTCATAAGCACCCGTCTTCTTTGTTCTCTTGCGCATTTGGCTGCCTTGTTTCCGATTGATCATCACTTGCTTCACTCGCTGAATAAGCGACTCGTCAACAAACCCACTCGCCGTGTCATTTGGCTCTGGACAGTCTTTTTTGCTCCTCTGCACACTCACCGGGACACCCGCATTCTCCACCGTCGACGATAGAGGAAAAATGTAGTACATTCTGCCAGGCAAGAACAAGTCGGATTTCACGGGCGTAGTGGGTGTAAATATACTCTGACACGCTTGGAAATACACCCTTCTCCCCATCCGCGTCTTGAACGTGAGGACGCTACCACCAGCCTTTGACTCTTTCCCCGCCTTGGCACCACTAGCCGATCCAATCTCCTCCTCCTTCATCTTTTTAGCCAGCAGCTTCTGCTTTTCTCGCTTCAATTGAGCCAAAAGAGCATAGTCCAAGCCTTTGACCAGATGTGTGTGCTCCATGTCTCCCCCTAAAAACTTGCTCTGCTCAGCATCAATGTGTCGGTAAGCGTCAGCATCAATCATATCCCCCGTGCTTCCAATGCGTCTCTCGGCTGCTCGATCTCGATACAAACTATTTTGTCCAGGAGACTTTGCTTCGGCTCCACTTGATAGCGCAGCAGGCATCGACTTCTTGCTCTTTTTCTTTCCATTCTTCGCCAGCAGCTTCTTCATATCCATGAGGTCCATCTCTGTTAAGCTGCGCTTCCCCCCATAGCTCTGTGTACCGCTCTGAGGCGTGCGGCTCGCTAGTATCTGCCGGAAGTCGTCTTGGTTCATCGTGTGTCTATTGTTTGTTGTCAAAAACGATACGAGCAATCGATCACGTCTGACAGGATTCCCGATATCGAATATGATTGGCAGACAAAGAATCGTCGTTTCAGCCACTCGTGGGGCTTGGATTTAATCATTGGCTGAGAGCCGCTACGAATTAATCGTAAAAAGAGGAGGCGTGTGGACCGTGCGCTGCTTACAAATTGCAAGTGTACCCCGCATCTAGTCCGATTTGCACGACGAATTAGCAGTCTCACACGCACCGCCAGCCGTCGCGACAGCTATCGTCATTTTTGCCTGGTCTACTAACTTGCTCCAGTTTTCAGCAGCAAAGGTGCGTCTTCGCCACTTGCATGTCTTGTGTATGTCGTTCTACCCTCTATATACACAGTCAAACTTGGGGCTGTGCACGCAGCTCGTTCGATGCGATTGCGCGAGCAAGCTGCGTGTCCATGTGGGCAATTTGTCGAGGACAATATTTGTATCACTTCTTTTTAGGCAAATGCTGCTCTCGTTTATTATTATGTTTTTTGACCTTGTTGACAGACTCGCTGATTTTATTTTTGACACTTGTAGAACGATGGCTGACGCTATTACACTCGCACGCGAACGTCTTGCGGCCAAGTTTGGCGACGTCCGTACGGGCGGCAAGGGCACTGTACGCCGAAAGCGCAAAGTCGCGCACAAGTCGGTCGCGATCGACGACACGAAGCTGGGCGTGGCTCTGAAGAAGCTGGGTGTGGCCCCCATCCCTGGTGTGGAAGAGGTGAATCTCTTTAAAGCTGATGGACAGGTCATTCACTTCCAAGCACCCAAGGTGCAGGCGTCGATTTCCTCCAACACGTTCGCCGTGAGCGGCTACAACCAGACCAAGACGCTCCAGGAGCTGCTTCCAGGCATCATCAGTCAGCTTGGCCCGGACAACCTTGCCAACTTGAAGCAGATTGCTGAGTCGTACACAGCTGCTCAGAAGGCTGCGTCCGCTGCTAATCCGGACGACGGTGACGATGATGATGTGCCGGACCTAGTCGACAACTTTGAGGATGTTAGCCAACAAGATTAAGAGAGACGGGGGGCGACGGTGTCGGCTTGCAGTGTTGACTCGTGACGAGATGCGAGACGTGCTGAATGTGATGGTGATACTGCGAGTACTCGTTGCGTACATATGGCGCGAAAGATGGTACGGTCTTGGCAATTGGTAGGCATCTGCACCCAGCAGCGTAACTTCTTAAGAGATTTTCAGTACAACTAGTACGTCAGGCAATGAGCGTACACCAGGCATTGAACGGTTGCAGAGGCGATAAACTGCTGTGCGTGTTGCGTCTATATGGTCATGTCAGCATCTGTGTGCAAATTTGTTCTTGAATCTCGTTACCGACCTGTCTCCCATACTTGACCAGGCGATCGACCGAGTACGCGCACAGGTTACTCCTTCACAGTCACAATGGCTTTCTTCCAGTCTTTTTCCTTGTATACATAGCGACCTCGAAACGCGCGCTTGAACTTGCCTGTTTGTACGAGAAATCAAACATTTAAGGAGGTTCATTGGCACAAGTATACGTACAGAAATGCATGTATACATGTCGACGTGTTTGCGTGCGTACCTTCATAGTTCATCGTGTTGACTTTCGTCACATGCAGATCGTAGACCTTGGTGAGATACTCTTTGATCTCATGCTTTGTATAGTGCGGCTCCACCCGAAAGACGTACTGATTGTCACGCAGGCGCGTGCGCGCGTTCTTTCCCATGAACGTCATGGCCATATTCGGGAACTTGACGCGGTTCCACACCATCTTGAAAGTGACTGGATGGGCTCTCAAAGTTAATTGTTGACGACGACTTGGCATTTGTATGCTGCTTTTCAGCCAATCGAAACTCGTCAATAACAGGCAAATTCCTCGTAATCGCTTTGTGAGAGCAAAGATGTCAGCAAGAGCTGGCAAGAGCTTCGAGTGCATTTTGCAGGGAGAAGTGGTACGTTCAGGAGCTACTTGATGGCACAGAAAGCTGGAGAAAGGCAAAGGAGATGAGGAAGACTGACTGGTCATTGTTTTGTTGGCTGTGTGCCTTGCCCTGTGTCTTTTGTTTATGTTATGTGACTATTTTGACACAGAATTTTAAACACTTTCCCTCTTTCCTCGAGCGCCTGGGAGGACTGTGTGACGAGAGTGTTGTAAAGGTATCGATGATGAAGAGTGGTGGTACTTGTAGATTGCTTGACAGCTGGTTTGTTGCTATTTGTTGCTGCTGTTGTAGGAAGATATTGCGTACAAGGAGTACGTATACAACTTTGATGACAAGTGTCCGCAGTATATCCAGGGGGTACCGCACTACGAAGTTCGTGCGCGTCATGTGTTTTCGGGATCCACGACGTTTCAGGGTGAGGCAGTGGAAATGCCGTCTGATAGCGGGCAAAAGTGGTGAGTCAGGCACTTTTCGGTGTCGTCGTGAAAAAGTCTTGACTGAATAAAGGGAGTTTTGGTCACTGGAGGGAGCTGAGGTATATTGGACGATGGGAACGCAAGAAAATGTCCGAACATGTTGGCACTGCACCGCTGGGTGTTCCGTTTCGCAGCCAGATTGCCGTGTCGGTCGGACAGAACGTCCGTTCGTTCCTGAACACGCTCGGCTTCCGGTAAGAGAGGAAGAGATTGGTGACTTCATTCGCCCTCCCTATGTGATACCAACACTGTACTACTATGGTTGATATTGGCATCAGGCATAGCTACAGGTACATGCGTCTCGGAACAAGGTGGCAATTTCCCAATGGCATTACTATTGAAGCTACACGGATGAAGGCGGTAAGTCTGTAGAACAAGTAGACTGTCGTATTTCCACCGTCTTCTTACCCAGTATATCTTGTGGTGGTACGTTTTGTATGTGCTTAGCTAGAGAATGAGGATGCGAAGGACGAATACCGCCTGGTGGACTTGGAAAACCTGCGCGTGGAAGCGCTACTCGTTGAGATTTTTGCGCTCACGACGGACGAGAAGATTGACGAGGCGTCACAGAAAATTCGCCGTTTTGCCGTGGATCTAGACCCGTACTTCATTGAGCGTCCATCCGAAGGCAAGGAGATATTGCACAGTACGGCTACTTTGGCTGCCGAGGTGCGCCGCAAACGCCCGCGGCCGTAGCGTGGCTTGAACACATCACCGAGTTGATGTAGGGGAACGAAAATGCGATGTCAAGTCGGCTGCGGTTGCACACACGCGTAGATCGGATTCATTTGAGCTGCTTATTACGCATCGCTACGAGGTAAAAATTAATTGAGCCGCACGCACAGTACGCGTCGGGGTTTACGGTTCGCCTCCGCCTTGATCGCATCAGGTCAAAAAGCCGCACGGACAAGTGATCGCTGACGAGTCTCTAGTGGCAGTCACAGGCAAAGCCTTTCTGCTTTACGGCTCTGTACTGTCGTGGCGTCTGAGACAGCCGAATGACCTCAGGTGCGACAGGTTCCTCATTCTTCACGGTTTCGCTTTCGTCGACCGAGTTCTTGTCTTCTTCCTTTTGTGCGCGATGATCTTCTACCATGCGATCTAAAAGACATTGAAAGGCGTCCTTAACATGCTGACCGCTCTTAGCTGAAGCACGGAACCACTCGATAATGTTGTTCTTTTCCACGCATTTTTGCAAGTTCACCCCAAGATCCAGAGCGCCCATGGGGTCGACCAGCAAGTCACTCTTGTTAGCGATCATTATGACAGGTATCTCGGTGCCATTGTTCAAGTGCTTACAGCATGAATCAATCTCATTCTTCCAGTGGACCACGGCATCGATCGTATTGGCTCGAGTGATATCACACACAATCACCGCTCCTTTTGCTTCACGAAAATATCCACGCGTGAACTTGGCAAAGCGATCTTGTCCTGCAATATCCCAGAGCTGCAAGCTAATGGTAAGATGTTCATCATACTTGATAATCTTCTCCACGAAGTCCGCCCCAATAGTACTCACGTACTTGTCACTAAACTCGTCCTGAATAAACCGTCGAATGGTGCTGGTCTTTCCACAGCGAGCATTGCCAATAACCAACACCTTCATTATGACCACTTTCGGCTCAATGTCTATGTTACTGTCAGTAGACGAAGACGAAGACTCGACGCTGTCGTCCGAATCACTGCTCTCAGCATCGTTTGCATACCGAGCCAGCATCTCTTGAATCTCTTCCTTCGTCGGTGCTGGAGCGTGCTCAAGCTCTTCCAGTTGGTGCTTCATCTCTTCAAGACTCAAACGAGCTGTCACGGACTCAGCGCGTTCCTTCACAGCTGCAACTGTATGGAGAAAGGTCGTTGGAGCATTGGGAACCGCAGTCTCAACTTCAACATCGGACAACGTCCGTACTTCCGAGTCATCGGCCACACTATCGACGCTGCTGCCATGGCGGTGCAAGATACGCACCGACTGCTTGGAGCTGAACATGGCTGCGACGTCTTGGCGCTCGTTCATGTTGTTGTGTGCAAAACCGCCCTTTCTTGCGCTCTGTCTTCCTCTGCTTCTCTCGCAACTGCGACGAGCTCTGCAAGTCGGGACAAGACCGGACCACTTCAACGTCGGGTGCACTTTTCAGCCAATGGCAATGCAGGAAGTATTTCAACGAATCACGATGAAGCAATACTTTCAACCAATGAGACTGGCAGGTTGTCATCAAAATCTCATCGTCACGTATAATGACGGCCAAGGAGACGCTCTTGGCTCTTCAGCTCAGTTGTCGAGGCGACGCTGCCCGCGAGTGTCTCCTCCGTGACTGGATAAAGCTTACAGACGAGCGAAAGGAGACGTCGCTGTTTCATCAGCTGCCAAAGAGCCCCACAGGTGCTGCAATAGATTGGCTGAAATTGTACGAAGAAGTGGTGGCTCGAGGAGGTTATACAATCGTCTCCCAGCGTCATCAATGGACCGAGATTCTAGGCCCCGATGGCTTGAATCTGAAAGGGTTATTGCCGTATCAATTGGCAGCTTATTACGACCGGTTTTTGCGTGCTTTGGAGGAGAAACAGCTCTTTGGACGAGATCTCCCGAGGACAACGACGGCTCCGAGTGTACTGCCCAGTAAGCGGCAAGGTTACCACGGATCGATCACTGGAAATGAAGACGAAGACGAAGGTCCAGTTGCAACGGTGCAAGATCTACAGGATGCTCAAGGTGGCATGGGTGGGACTCCGCTGCCACGAGCTAACAAGAGATTCAAGGCGCAGCGAGAACTTCAGACGCATCTTGGCACGCTACACAGCATCGTGCTGGCTCTGGACTCTGGAATTCCGGAACAAGTGATGTCGGCGCTGAATTTATTGACCATTTTGTCTTACGGAGGTGAGTCGGGCGGTGCTGCTGAAACAGTATCAACTGTCGCGGCAAATGCGACTGCTACAGCAAATGAGAACGAGCTGGTGGTGGACAATGTTCCGGGATTGTTAGATGCACTATATCGGCAATTAGTATCGTGCAAATTGCTGCCAAATGAACAAGACGTGGAGCAGAACCTTATGGCACGGAGGAGGTTGCTGAACTTGACTGTTGGTGATGGCGAGCGTGAATTGCTAGACTCCACGGCGTTGATGGTGTTGAACATTCTGCGCAACTTGGCGGTTGTTGGCGCAAATGAGAAGCCAATGGCTGCGCACGACGAGTTGTGCGTGTTCTACATTATCGCACTGCGTTATGTGAATAGCAGCGACGCGCGGAATTGCCGTAGTGGACGATCCCGTGCTGCCGTGGAAATCGGCGACCATGTATTGGACACGTTGTGCGCCATTGCAAAACGCATTGACTTTCTTGCTCTGCACCCACCCGCCGCGCTTGAAATATGGCACCCGCAGTACCAGTTGAGCTCGCAGCTGTGGAAGAAAGAACGTGTTCTTCCGCTTGAGTGTCTACTTCGCGAGGTACGACGCATCCTGGTCGACCGTGATCTGAAGCAACAGCGGCGGTCAGTAGTGCTTCGTGCGTGCGAACTGCTCACCAACGTCTGCCGTGACGTAGCCATCAAGAAGTACCTATCTTCAAGTCAAGCTCTTCAAGATCCTGCTTTACTTGATTGCGTCGTGGCGTTGCTGGGATGCTCACGACTGGAGTTTCTTCCTCGCGGATCTAAGCATAAAAAGCAACAGCTGCAACAAGCTCACGGATTTCCAACAGAAGCAGACTACGACATGGATGCTGAAGACTCTGACGACGGTGACTCTGACGAGACTGACAGGGACGATAATAGCAGATGGCCTGCCCCATGGGAGAATGACGGGCTACCATCAGGTATTGGCATGGGCATCGTACATGTGAGTCCAGAAGGTGTTCGAAACACTTCGTCCTTGCCTCACGTCAACGGAGCTCACGCGGCGCATTCCATGGCGTTTGGCGATGACCAGCTCGATCATGAAATGCGTGATGCTGCGTTAGAAGTGCTTTTCCGTTTCTCCGACTACGACGATGCAACGAAGCTTCGAATGGCACAGCACCGAATGTGTATGCGGCGACTCGCAGGCTCGCTTCTGTCGTGTATCGGAAGGGTACGTGCAATCCGACCCACCCACCCAATCACGTCATGAATGAATGAGCGGTACATGTGTTGCTAACTTCTCGCATTTGTGTACTTTGTCGCGACATAGCCCGAAGCCGCTCGAATCACCGTCGCCACGCTGTGCAACATCTCGATGAACCGCGCAACGTTCCCGTATTTCCTACCGATCGAGAAGGATTTGCTCCTTGTCGCGTGTTCCGATGTCAGTGTCTCGGACATTCTCAATAACGTCGTGGCCGACGTCTACGGTATGCACTCCCTGTAACAACTTGTCAACAAGCACCGAACAAGACCCATCACCAATATACCAAGTAAAGAAGAAGAAGAAGAAGAAGCAGAGACCAACAGTACAATCGCCACATCGTTCGCTTCAATCACACACGGCCAACTCCATATTTCCAATACTAATGAGCACGCCAGCCCCGCGTGGAAATCGACAACTACGTTCAAGAGCTCGTCCATCTCCAACACCTCGTCCGTCTGCTCGTTGGCCACACGCGACCGTCCGTCCAACTAAAAGCCCAAGCCCACAAGCCACTTGCGAATGTCAACAGCGTGGTCGCCAACGACCTCCAAGCGACCTGGACGTGCAGTCACTTGTTTGCCTTCACAGACCTTGGACATCTCATCCCGTAGCTCCTGCTCGTCGCCCTTGTAGCGACGTAATATGGTCAACACCCGCGTCCGGCCGTTCCGGTAGTCCCTGTACACTGGCAGCTGCAGTCCAAGAGCCGTGCGCTTGACGTGGAACGGAAGATCCGGCAGTGGCGATTCCGGAGCTGGTGACCAGCCATTGAAACTGACCGTCTCCGGGACGTAAGTGGGCTCGTACTTAAGCGGAGGCACCGCAACCTCGTCTTTCGGCTGGCGCTGCAACGCACGCAGATTGGCTGGATGACGAGTCTTGCGCCGGATCTGGCGGTTGCTAGCGACGCGCTCGACAGCGTGAATGCTCACGAGCACGCGGCGCTGGAACATACTGCGCGGCTGTTTGTGGACTCGGTAAATAGTGGAGACCTTGGTGATTGATTGGGTGAGCGGTTGTGAGCATTTGGATTCGCTGAAAAGACAGTGTGGTCGGAGCTATGATTCGTGGAAAAGGAGCGAGGGATGTGAAACGGTTTTGTAACAACACCAATGAGAATTGGTGGAGTCGCACTTGCATTCATTTGCAGTATCAGGTTTTCGTGTCCATGCGGAGAGCAACCTGACATTACTGCGTAAAGACGCCATAATCAGCACGGTAGGCGCGGATGACCGGTAGATACGAGGCGTTGCTGTCCGTTGTCGGGTCTGCGTTTTCGAGAAAAGCGACGAGGTTGTCCAGCGTCGCGATACTCACAACAGGAATGCCAAAACTCGCCTTCACGTGATCGATGGCCGATCGTGTGTCGTCCACCGACACCTTCTCCTGACGATCCAGTGAGATGCATACACCCGCGACTTGCGCGTTGGTCTTCGATAAGATAGCAAACGCTTCACGGATGGCAGTACCGGCAGTGATAACGTCGTCGACTATGAGCACCCTGATGAACACATAGCACACATGAAACAAAGTTATTCGCGGACGTACAAGGTTGCGTCAGCTGCTTTGCCACGTACCTCTTGCCGGTCATGTCAGCACCGACGAGCACGCCGCCTTCGCCGTGGTCTTTGGCTTCTTTGCGGTTATAAGCAAAGGGAACATCGACACTGTACATCTCGGCGTACGCAATGGCAACAGCAGCTGCCAGTGTAATGCCCTTGTAGGCGGGACCAAAGAGCACGTCAAATTCCACGCCGCTGTCCTACGATTGACGCATGAAGCAGTGATAGACACAAGCACACAGTAACATCAGCAGCAGCACACATCGCAGGGAAATGCATCGAATTTACGTACATGGATGGCTTGAGCATAAAACTTGCCGAGCTTGCCAAGCGCGCGACCCGTGCGAAACAGACCAGCATTGAAAAAGTACGGACTCTGGCGTCCCGACTTTAGTGTAAAGTCACCAAATTTCAGCACACCAAACGACAGCGCAAACTTGATAAACTCGTTGGCACTCGAATTGACCACGATTGCTGAACCAGGCGCCGCTTCTACCTTCATCTTGCGGAAAGCATTGATGGCATCACGCAGGGACTCGGCAGCTTGTTTAGGGTCGGCAGACTTGGAAATACCACGCGAAACAGGCACCAACAGACCAAGTCCAGACGCAGATAGCCCAGCCATCACCGCCTCTTCCAAGTTGCCACCTTGAGCGCCAATCCCCGGGGCCAAGATCCACAAATCAGGCGTCACGAAACGCACACGACGCAAAGCATCGACGTCTGTCGCGCCCACCACGAGGCCGACATTGTCTTCGACGTTCCACTGCTCGCACTTGGCCGCCACTTCTTCAAACAGCGCACGTGAGCCAACCGAAAGCGTCTGGAAGTCATTGGCACTGGCATTTGATGTCTTGCACAAGACAAAACAGCCACGATCAGGACGTCCCTTGACGAATGGGTCAATGGAGTCCTGACCCATGTACGGCGCCAACGTGATAGCGTGAGCCTCGAGCTTGTCAAAGGCCGAGACAGCATAAGCAGCTGCAGTGGTGCTAATGTCACCGCGTTTGGCATCCAAGATCACGGGGATTCCGTCCGGAATTGACTTGATTACAGTATGCAAAGCAGCGATACCTTCAGCCCCAAAAGCCTCAAAGAAGGCCGAGTTCGGCTTGAAAGCGGCTGCTGCGTGCTGTGTCACTTCGATGAGACGCAAACAAAAGGCCAGAGCCGCAGAAGCTGTTGGTTCAGGTAATTCCGCGATGTGCGGGTCCAATCCCACGCACAGGAGCGAGTCCACAGCGGCCACGCGGGCGCGGACCGAGTCGAAGAAGCTGATGGGCATGGCGAGCGTGGTTTGCAATGACGGGAGCTGTGATTGGTGGAAAACGCAAGTGCGGGATTTGTGTGAGGCAAAATTAGGACGGAGGGGTCTATTTTGTACTGAGATATTTTTTTTTGTGAAGATATTTTTTTTGTGACTGGATCGGCTTGTGTCAAAGAGGACGTTTATGTACAAGATTTAGGAAGGCTCTTTGGGAAGACAAAATGAACGATTCTTTGTTGACGCGGGGAGAAATAGGGACAGAAGACCGAGTCATCCGTTGTTTTCCAAGTTGATTGCTTTCGTTCCGACACTTTGTTAAGGACAAATTGTTACGAGCGATTTGCGGTCACTGTCAAGGTGGTAATTTGAAAAGTTTCTGATTTTGATCGTAATTTGCAGCGTCTATTGCATGCGGTTCAAGTTTGGTAAACGTCATCGCCATTCACCAGCAGATGAGTCCTTTTTTACACACGCACTTTTCATTTCATCCAATCCCACGACGCCAGCACAAATCGGGCATAACTCCATTCTACCACAAGTCGCAACAGCGGTATTCCTCCTCCCTTTTCACAGTGCAGATTCCAGGAGCTCCTACGGACGTTTTGCGACACACGGTTCTATAGTACCCCTGGAAACCTTGTGTAACCGGTTCTTTGTTGCCCAAGACACTGCATCTCCTCGAGCCTAAGCTCCGTTGTTTAGATTGAACCCATCGCTTGATTGTCAGACCTCGAGACCCGATGCTGGACGACAACCGCAAGATCGGCACCTTACTGCTGGGTCTAGGCTTTGCCTTTTTACTACTGGGCGTGCTCATGATTTTTGATGCAGCCATGTTGGCACTTGGTGACGTCTTGTTTCTGAGCGGAGTGGCACTCACCATTGGCCTGTCGCGGACCGTGCGCTTCTTTACGCGCAAAGAGCGATGGCGTGGTATCGTGTGCTTCCTGGGCGGCATTCTCTTGGTCATGTTGCGGTACCCTGTGATTGGTATGATTCTCCAGAGCTTTGGCTTTTTGAACCTGTTTGGGTCGTTCTTTCCAGTGGCTGTGGCATTTCTGCGACAAACGCCGGTGATTGGGAATATCCTGAGTCTTCCAGTTATCAGCCACGTCGTGGACCGACTAGCCGGTGTGCAAAAGCGCGGCTATCAGGTGTGAGGGAGGACGGAAGCGAGCCACGCAAGACATAGCAGATGATGTGATAGAACAACGGAAGTCGGCGCTGCGGAGATGAGTGGAGTTGTGCTCGAAACGAACAGGCTGAGGACGCGTACTCTTGCATACAAATATGGCAGTTGATGAAGAATGACACCACAGCTGCGACAAGTCTTCTGTAGTATCGTTTAGGATGCTGCACCTATCGGAGAGCGATTTGGCGGACAGCAAGTAAAAGTTGCTAATAACCGGTCACTTCTGTCTTATTGTACGACTATTTATCAAGTTACTTGTGATGTGTTGTACGCCCCTGATTAACGTTGAGGCGATTGGGGACGTCGTGCCACCTTGCTTCCTACATGGTACTGGAGCCGTCCCTTTTTGTTTTTTACACCATGAGCAGTAGTAAACATGCTGCGACGCATTCTGAGCAACGAGACATATGCTGCAAACTAGCTATGTCATAGCGTTTGATCATATCGGAGGGGGGCCCGTCGTACAAATTATGATCGAATCCACAATCGTACGCTGCGTTATTGGTCCTCACACAGGATACTCATTACACGTTTCTGATTGGTCGAGCACGCTGCATCATATCACCACGAATATATTCGTGTGGTAGTCATTTGCCGAGCACTCGTCCGTGTGAATCTTCTTATCAACCTAAGTACGAGGTATTTTAGCAGCCATGAGTTGGATCGGCATGTAATCACACCACGTGAAGTCGTGACGCAATACAATATCTGACGCGTGTATAATATTCAATGTATATCTACTCTACAACCCCTCCTTCCTGTACCTCGGAGCGGGCCTACCTCAAAAATGCCGCCCAGCTTCAAGTCTCCCCACAATAGCGTTTCACGCTAGAGCAAAAGGCCGACCACGGCAACCCAACAATCATCATGCTGCCGGGTAAACTAGGGCACCCGAGTCGAAAACAACCAGTGACACCGTAGACTCCACACGGACGGCACGATGCTTTCGTGGTAGAGCCATCGAGCCCCAGCTTTCTTCGATTGCCATCGTCACAGCAGCTGCTGGTGCAATGATGATAACCTTCGTTCCGCGCTTCATTAAAAGACCGACTTGTAGTCTCCAGAAGATGACGTCGACGATGCTGTCGGAGACGAAGCAACCGCAGCTTCTTGTGGATTAATCTGCACCTCCTCTTCATCTTGACTCTCGTCCGTAAACGTGTCATCACAGCTGCCGTCTTCACCAGGAGCACCAGGCAATAAGTGAGCCATTCGTTTCGCCTTGGCCGTCAAGTACCCTTGGCTAAACTCCCCCCCTTTGATCACCACAGGTTGTCTCCCGTCAATCGTAATCCCCAATTGACTCAATAGCCGAATCTTCCGCGGGTTGTTCGTCAATAGACACACCGACTGAATCCCCAGGTCCTTCAAAATAGCCGGCACTGGCTCATATGAGCGGTAGTCATCCTTAAACCCGAGCACGCGGTTCGCGTCGACTGTGTCAAGTCCCCGCTCTTGCACAGAGTAAGCCATGATCTTATTCGCGAGCCCAATGCCCCGTCCCTCTTGCGGCATGTAAATGACCACGCCCCCGTGCTTCTTCGTGTACGCCTTGGCGTACTCCAACTGCTCTTTGCAATCGCACTTAAGCGAGCCAAAGACCTCGGACGTAAAGCACTGGTCGTGCACGCGCACGAGCACATTGCGTTTGCCCCGCACGTCGCCTGAGATCATTGCAATGGGTTCACTCGCCCGCAAGGAGCCGACGGAGCGGTAGGCACGGACGCGAAACGTGCCGCTATCGGTTGGCAGCGCCGTCTCGGCTACGAACGTTGTGGTCACGGCGTCACCTAGACACGTGAGGCCAGGGGCATCGGCATCAACGGCAGGTCGATACTTGAACGAGGTGATGGTGGGAGGGGCGACATCTGCCGACAGCTGACACTGGGTCATGATGCGATGGTCCTAGACTAGGAATTATGATAAAGAGGACGAGCGAAGGAATATAAAGAGAGAGAGAGAGTGGGCGGCTGAGTGGAAGGTACGGGCTTTAATCGGACAAACGGCCGGCCACTTGCGCTCTAAAGCCGTCTGACTCGCTCAATCGAGTGAGCGTCTATCGACTGATTGGGGAGTGAGAGAGCACGCCGCACGTGGGGTCGAGCGACCTCTGAGATCGGATATCGTATGATAAAAGAGGGGATCCATCTGTATTTGGGATCGCAGGTCAGAGTGGTTGGGTCTTTTGGCTGGTCTTTTTTGGTTGTGTGATTGGTGGTTTGTTTGTTTGGTGGTTTATTTATGGGCGCGGGAGAGGATCGCGCGACAGGGGATGGAACAACTATTGCGTATCAATTGGACTACTACAATGGGATATTATAGATCAGCTGTCGGATGCCCCAGGACCAATAACGATCCGCGACCACCTCTCGTCGTCGGATGTACGACTTTTCTGTAAATCAAAGCGGAGGAGTCGCATTGTAGGCAGAGCGACCTATAGACAACTACAGCTGGCTGGCTGGCGCAATCGCATCGGTAGAGAATGGTGAAGAGCTAGTGCTACGTTGACATGTTGTGATATGCAACAGACGAAACTCTGTTCTACGAGCCGTGTCGAGTTGTTCAGATGATGACGCATCGCTCGTGTGATGACGGCGATGCTTTGGATGTGGATTGGCTAAAACCGTGCGCTGACATGAAGCTGAGAGCTGAACGTATCAGAGGGATTTGGATATGTCTAAATTTAGTCTGATGGACTGAAGTGCAATCGGAATTTATATGACAACGGATGACATCAGTGGATTGTCGGCTTTGTGCATGGTGCTGCTTCTCAGTCTGCGAAGAACAACTGTCACTAGTGGTCCCGTGGTATTCCTCAGCTAATGATTGCTTAGCATATGACCGGAAATGCAGCCTCGATTACTGATGCAAGACGCTGGACATACCCACGTTTATTTAAACTTTGTATTGAGGTCGAAGGGATCAGTAGATCTTGCGATTGTATATCTGGACGCGTATGTACATCAGTCAACCTCTTCCTCTTCCTCTTCGCCACATAAACATGCCCGCACATAAATATCGCCTGTGCACTCTTGATAATTTTGCTTTGCTACTAGTCGTCGTTCGTGCCGTCACCAGCTGTGACCTTAGAGGACTCACACCTTGAAAACGGTCAAATTGAGGGGACTGCGATAGATTGGATTTGTGGGACGAGTACACCGAGCGATGTCGGAGTCAAGCGCGTTCATGTTGGTGTACGATACCAGCCGTACCCGCAGTCTTTTAGTTGCCGTGACATCCGCCTAGTTTGCCTCCTGACAGGAAGCAAGCGCGCCACAATGAGCACGACCACTAACTTTCGTCATTGACGGCATCGGTGAAGAGTAGGTACCATTCTGTGTGCTTCATCTGTACAACAAAGCCAACATTTCTTGCACCGGCCCAGTCTTGTGATGGTGTACGCACCTTCTGCCGATACATCAGTGACCCGTACCTATTCTTAGGTTTGATCTGTCATTGCTACAAGTACCAAGCACGTGCAAGTTTATCAGCAGGAGACCACTTCGAGGCCTCGCCTAATGGCATCACTGTGAAGGTGTAGCTTGCAAAAGTGCTTGTTCTGCGTACAATTCATTACTGTTAGTCCGATCTGCTTGGCTAGAAACTATACGTAGCACCATTCATCGTTGCGCTCATCCTGATATCCTACCTGCTTCAAGTCAATCTTTCCATGAGGTGCTGTAAGGCGATGGCGTAAGCGACGATCGCGATGTGTGAACCGTTGTAAGGGCAGAACTTAAGTCGAAAAATGGCGCCCAACGTGAGCGACGCAAGTCAATATTGGTATTTTTTGATCAAGTAGGCCGACATCAGGTGTGATTGCGTATATCGCGACGCGATGACGGCATCTTGTTGCATACGCTGCAAGTTTTTGACCTCGAAGCTGTCGCACTCTGCAGTGGCTAGTCGCATTGCAAGCTGAACATTTCATTTCCGTGTGCAATAAGCTTTGTCCGCGCGACTAACCTAGTGCACTAACACCGGCTTCGTGAGTATGACTCGACGTACTAGCTGAACGCTGTAGAAGATTCGATATGAAGATGAATGTATTGCTCGTTCAGCCTCATATCTGTCTGAGGTGCTTGCAGCTATATGTGAACAGCACGGGCTGAGAATTGTAAGCTCCGATACAGCTATTTTTAAATGAGCATGATCGGCTGATCTTTTGCTCGACACTTTTGGTTCAGATTGTTGTTTGTTGCTCGTCTGTGTACTCTTCCAGAGTTTCTCTATTTGAAAATGGCTGGCAACGTTACCACAGTGATGCCTTTGCGTTAAATGGTGTGTGAACTTGCAGAGCAATTTCTGCACTGACCAAGGTTATGAAGCGATATGAGCAGACAGAGTTACGAGCAGCTAACTCGCATACAAGTGGCCAATTTTTGTGGTGGTGGTCGCAATACTCAACGTCGAAAGCTTTCTTTTCAGGTGAGTCGTCATCGTCAGCGTCTTAGCCGTAGTTCCTAAGAGCTAGATCAGAAAAAAAATCGTGTGGTGAAAGCTGTCCCAGTACTATTGAGCTCTCCATCACTGCTTTTAGAAGGTTGTCGTAGTTTCGGTCGAAGCGGAAAAGTAGATACCTTCTTGTACATTCGGTCGAAGCGGACGGATAGATACCTTCTTGTTACTTCTGTTGGGTGTTCAATATTTGACTACACTTCTCATGCCCGTATAAACGCTTTCTCCCTTCCGACTTCCTTTTAAACTTGGTGCGAGCTTTTGTATCAATACGAGTTGGATGATGTCACCGTCGTCTGCTTCGAACACTGATGCAACGCTCTAATGACTTACCGCGAGGTTAGTGTTGGCGCGTACTCTGACAGCTGTGGAATGCCACATCCATTGCTTGCCTTGAAAAGTCGCTTGATCCGCCCCTCTTTCGTCGATACTGTCGTTCACGTACTGCTGCTTTTATGATCACATGTCATTTGTTATTCAGTCTCTCGCCCGGTATGGCGTCGCCAGCACAATGGAAATGGAGTCGAATGACGGACTGAAAATTCACAAATACGATGGAAACCTTATTCGGCATTTCGCTCATTCTTATTCTCATACCACGGTCATTCGCCAACAATCGACACAGAAGCGTGGATAAAAGTTTTGAATGATCTGAAGTCGACGGAGTCGTTCCTATCCATTTTTGGGGTGCCCACAGGTAAATGAGCAACAGACCGATGTCAAGTGACCACGTCAAATGACCTGATCGATTATCCAAAATGACCGAAAGCGATTTCTGATAAATATTTAGAAAAAATTAGGTCCATTCGCAGATAATTATGGGCATATGTCCACCTTCTCATGCGTGCACACTTAGCCAAATTGAATTCAATGAAGACAAATGCTTACTGATGGGCTCATTTTTTTCCGGCTAGGTGATTCTGATTCATTATCAAAAGTAGCTCCGAAAAACACCCAAATTCGTCAGGAGTGAATCCCAAATACATAATTCAAAATTACTGTTTGCCCACTCGCTCTTTAAAAGCTTAAAATGAAGATGTCAGTGCATTTCGCGGTTAAACCCTTTCTTTGTTTCTTTCTGCTTGGCCAACTCCAATCATAAGAACAATAACAATACAGGTACTGTAACGGGATTACACGCGGTTATTTAACCGGTTATGAAGTGTGTCCACACCCAGTAAAGATCGGCAAATCTGAGTGGCACAGTTTGGTATCACGTACTTACAATAATTCCGCACGTTATTGGTGAAGGTTAAGATATAAGACTTCTTTCATAGGATCGCAATGTAGAAGTCATTCGGACAAGGTTTTAGGGTTTTATCTCCGTAGCTAAAGACTAAATAAAGTTCAGCTCCCTTAAGTATCGTTGGACGCTAGTGCCCAGTCAAGGCATAGTATGTTGTAAGAGCGTTAGCCTCGTAAAGGCGCTTACTCTTGTTTAACTATAGCCTCTCGTTAGTGTGCGATTCTGTGAATCGTAATTTATTTGGAATCGGTATTGTTAAGCTTATACGCTTGAACGACTGTGTAAGTCGTTGTGAGTTTCTTATAACTAAGAGACTCTTTGAGTCGAAGACTTCCTCCGTTAAGGACCGCTAAGCCGTTAGTGTGGCCTTGTCATAGCTTTCGTCTGCTATACACTTGGACGGTCCACATCCTCCTCGCCATGTCTGAATGACGATGCCACAACCACGCTTGTCTAGAGTATTAAGGTGTTCTTCACAAACTGGGCCGTGCCCAGTATGCCCGCGTTGCCAATAAGAAGGCGCGATGATTCGTACTGGCAAAAAGACATCTATCTGTTTACAAGCAAGGTGGAATTTCTTTATAACGGGGGACATTACACGGAATCCTTGAACGGCAAGCTTGATCTTTTGCCGGATACCATCCTCTAGAATAGCTATTTTTATACTTAAACCAATTGTATCGTGTTCGTGACGTCTGTTCCAACAATGTTTTGATAAGAAAGTACAGACAAAGCGATGGATCGCTGGATCAAGCCGGTGCGTGCGCACATTTGATCTCATGTTATAGGCAGATACGTTGCTATTTTCATCATGTAGCTGCTGTGGCGCTTATGACGTCAGGAGAACTGAATGGTCCAAGTGCTGGAGTGCTTAGCGCGACATCCGTGTAGACGCCATGGATTGATACGAACTGCCCACTTCCATTTATACGGGGTAGGTCGTTAAAACTTGCGCGGACCTGACAAGTAGTTGAATCCGAAAGAGTAGTGGCATAACATAATTTAGCGTAAAAAATGCTGGATGAGCAATTGGCGATGAAGGATTAGGTCATTTACGAACTGGTAATGAATGAGGTCAAATACTTGACACTCCGTAGTTTAGTGAGCGCGAGTGGCGGCGCCGTAGATGATTATGGATTATAAAAAGGGAACGACGAGCAATCTTGGTGCCACAGAAAGCGGCAGTGTA